GCCATCGTCCGTCAACATTAGACTTAGTTATAACTAGGTATAGAACGGACCTAACTTCTCTTATGTCGGAAGAACCGTTAGGAAAGAGTGACCACGGGGTACTGAGACTAAAGTTTGTTGCGAGACACGACAGGCCGAGTGCTAAGCTAGTAAGAAACTACGCCAGGATCAACGAAGAGCAATTAAGGGTAGCCGCTGAGAGCATAAGTTGCTGTACAGTGGAACGCAGTGCGTGCCAAATCACCGCGTGGTGGGAAGCGTGGGTCGGAGAATGAAACGAAAGCCATTGGACACATCCAAGCAACGCACCAAACATACGATGATCTAAAAAAATATTTCAACCAGCTGGTATAGCGGGGAACGAGATCGGGAATACTCGTGGGAAGATACGTCGACAAGCAGAACGGTAGAATGACAGACACCAATCGTGAACGTGCAACAGCTATCACAGTAAGCCCTGGAACCATCAATCTGGGGATGGGTGAGCATAGAGATGACGTCCATCATCAATACGAGATGTTCAAAGAGGGTAGTGTGAACGCGACAAGGCTGCTTGACGAAATAATAATACTGATGAAGGGGAAAACCCGTGAATGGGCTGTAGGGTTTTTGGGTCCTGTACAGAGAGGGTGAATGGGGGAAAGAAATCAGAACCAGAACGGAAAATATGCTCATACAGACCGTACAGATGCGCACTGAGTCAACGGTGCGTGCAACAATGAGTTCCCGGAAGTGGACTACAGCGTCACAGAAATGATTCCCAGAGGAGATGGGATCTGTGGCGAGCGAGCGCCAACAGCCTGCTGAAGATGAGCAACAACACCGATTTAATCGAGTCAGAGTGAAAGGGCCCATTGAACACACGAAGCAAAATACTGGAGAGAAACATAAGACCCGTCAGTTCAGTGATGCACCGCCTCTTCGTCGTTTGCTTTTACGTCCATTATCCGATGACATGGTTACATCCACCGATTCTCCAGCTCCAACAGTAGCTGTAGAGCCCAAGAACTTTTGTTCCGGGTTGGCCGGTTCTACTTTTGAAGTAGGAGAGTTCTCTTTCCGGGTGGCTGTGTCGATTTTTGATCCAGCACCAGTAGTTGGTGATTCAACTTCATGTTCCTCTTCTAATTCCTCGTCTTCACCATCCTTATCACCGACACCGTCTTCCTGATTGCCACCTTCGACTGCAACGAGCATTTCATATGCCTCAGCAGCATACCAATCCCAGTCAGAAAGTTCGTTCAAACCTTCTTCAATATCCCGAAGATTAGCGAACGGATCACGCTGTTCATGTTGCAGATATTTTGGTAGATTGAAGAACGTATCAAAAAAGATGTGACATAAACGGCACTGTTTCATGTCGGAAAGGCGTATTTTATCAACTAGCACGGGTTTGACCATGTCCAGATACTGGCATAAACAATCTTCAAAAGAGATGGGCTCGATACCCATTTCTTCCATCCGGGCTACTTGTTCGGAAAAGAAATATTCCAATTCATACATGGACAATAGACCATCTCCGTCCAAATCCATGCATCGGAACCAGTATTCAATGCTTCGTGGATGGCGTTTGTCCTCTTCCGCAAGAAGAAACCAAACGAAATCAGGATACGTCATAAATCCCTCTTTGAATG